AAGTGACACAATGTGTGTCCCAATATATAACATAAGTATAAAGTGAAGACTGCAGACTGCTCTCAGTGCAAAACATTGTTTTCACCATGCAAATGGGAACGTGACAACAATAGTCCCATTGACAAATGCATTTATGAAATAAATCATATATGAGAACTGTGGAAATAAAATCAAATGAAGAATGATCCTTGCAGTTTTGAACGCAATTTATGCAATTGCGTAAGAAGCCTGAAAAAAAAAACCAGGACTTCAACGGTATTTGAACCCATGACCTCGCGATACCGGTGTAACGCTCTAACCAACTAAGCTATGAAGCCACTGATAACGTACTGATAGTCCCATTGTTTCCTAACCCTGAAAACAATGGTCTGCATTCAGTCTGCAGTCTGCATTTTTTACTGTCCACCAATTTATACATTAAGGATCAACAAGACATGAGCATATTAATTTTTTTGTTTAAAAAATATAACTAGTTCAGCTGGGAAACCGGGGATCAATCATACAAAACGTAATACACCCTTTTAACCCAGACCTTAAACCACTGAATTGTGACCCGCGGTTCAGAATCACGCTTCAGAATGCACAAAATACTTACAGTGCATACGTAGAATTTTTGAAATTATCTGATTAAAATCTGAATCACCCTAGTGAAACCATGGCCACGCTTGTATATAGTTAATTGGTTCGTCTCCGTCCCGTTAGGAGACTTGGGATTCTTAACCCTCGGACGAACATCCCCCCCACCCCCCACCCCTGACTTTTTTTTTAGACGATAAAACATCAGCAGCTGACGTTTTCAGAAGCTGTTCCTTTATCCCTCCCGCGCATTTTGAGACAAGTTTAGAGATGGTCAGTTACTATGGTTACGACATATGATGTCTTAAGTAGCAGGCGGTCAAGCCATTTTTGAGTGAAAATGCATGTTCTTTCAACTTTTTTCAACAATAAAAGAAAAACCTGTCAATGAAATGATGTAAAGGGCTTATTTAAATGTTATTTTACACGTGAAGGACAGAAAATTATCATTTATCGCGATTTTAACCTGATTTCTAATTCTTGGTGAGATTCAAGATGGCGACCATTGTTGGTGACGTCACAGGCCTCCAGCAGCGCCACCACCCATTTAAAATAAACCTCATCTTGTTGAGTAGATCAAAGGCTTTCCACTGAAGTTAAAATTATCATGATCAAGAACTCTGGAGAGGGGTTCAATCCACCCCTCCCCCTTATACCACGCTGGGGTATGAATCTGCGTGTACCTCCGAGGGTTAACCCTGTTAAATTAATTTGAATTATTTGTTTCAGTCATTTGCTTTATACAGCCGAGGGGGAAAAAACTGAAAAGAAATTATTAAGATTATGATGATGATGATGATGATTATCATCAATATTACAATTATTACAATGCAATTTTCCTTTGCCAAATTACAATTTGCCGGTTAAGGTAGGTTACACGAGAAAAGGGGCAATCATGTGTACTACTATTCAGTCAGTTTCACGGGAGTAACGAAATACTTGTGGACAACGTTAAGTTCTTTCCCCACGAAAATTGTTTGTCTTTTTCCTAAGTTAAAATTGATATGTGTAGCCGTGGCTAATATAGAGCTCCACAGTATACAGTATGCCCTTTGATTTACAACGTTTTTTTTTTTGAAGTTATTAATTAGAGAGATTTAGAGTTTCGTTTACGGCAAACCGTGGATTTGTACCACGTGAATAAGTGTTCCCTTTACCTCTCGAGTTTTCTCGTTTGCTGTTAAATAAATCTACAAAAAATTGTTAGTTTCAAGTTAGTTTTATCCATAAGAATTGCTTTGAGTTGTTTTCATTTTATCCGCGTATTTTCTATTTTGAGAAATTCCCAACTTGAATCTGTAGACGTTTGCCATTTGCCGTTAGCGTGACTATAAATCTCTCTATTTAATATCTTCTGACAAAAAATGACTAAAATGAAAACACGCTTTTTTACCAAACGCCCCATTGAGGACAGCTATTAAATAACGCACTTCTTTCTTTGGAGAAATCCAGATATATACACGCTACTTCAGCAGTTCTGTTGACATCAAACTTTCAGCGCATCCCTGTAAAGAAAGTAACAATTGATACATTAATTAATCTTTCATTTCGAAACAAAATAAAGGTCAAAGCGTTAAATTTTAGGATGCCATGGATGATGATATGAAAAATAGCAAAATCAAAAACATTTAACATGTTAGACATATTTGTTCGTTTTGAAGCTATGAATTTCTCTACATATAGTACTAGTCCTGTAGAAAAACGAAGGAAACTTATTCCCTATGTATATCTTTTATCCACACCTGACCTAAACTATTTAACAATTGAGAACATTAAGCAATGCCTAGTGTTCAATTGATTTTTGAAATGTGTTGGTAGCCGGTTAGGAATAGCATTTACTTGAGTGAATCCATAATAATTTAACACTTACCACCCAGCCAATCCTTACTTTGTACATATTTTTATTCTTTTTATTAGCAAGTCTGTCATTTTCCTCTCATCTGAATTTGACAAGAATGGTTCTGGCTTTTCTTTTAAGCCTTCTGTTACTAGAACAGCAGGAAATAAAATCTCCACTTACGACTTCCTCAATGACTCTTTCCAATTCAATCTTAACGTCATCGCCCATCAGAACAAAAGGAGCCCAGTACTTTGGAGCAGAATAATCCTGGGAGTCTCGAAGACATTTAATGGCCCCCTGAAGAGCAACACTTGCACTCTCTCCACTTCCAAGTTGTTGGTAGAAAGACTTCATAAACATCATTGTGGCTTCGTCATCAATTGCCCAGAGTGTCGCCAGCACGGAACGAGCACCAGCAAACAAGAAAGCACGTGCCATACCGACCACACCCTCAGACGAGACCTTTCCTTGACCACTGTGGCAGCAACTAAGCACAACTAGCCTTGCTCTCAGCTTCACAGCTTGTATATCAGACAGTTTCAAAATATAGTCCTCCTCCGTAAAAGTCTTGCATTCCCATCGGGAGTCTGGAGCCAAAACAATTTCTCCAGTTTCCTTCCTTCCGTGGGCTGCGATGTGAACCAAAGCAACTGACGCGATTCCCTGAAGTACCGCTTCTTTGGTTGCATCTTCACCTGTTAAAGTTTGACTCTTTAGAATTTCTCCAATCATCTCCACTTCCATTCTTGCGTACTTCAGAGGATCATAAATGGGGTTCCCCCGTTTATCTGTAATTTTCTTCAAGCATGGATCTCCAACAAGCAGGGCTCCACTTTCACTGTGGTATTCAATTGGAGAATCTGTGATGACTTTCAAACTTGTCAGTGAGGGAACAGTCCGGATCCTTAAAGTTTCACTCAGGGCTGCCCAAGGAGCTTTAGACAAAGCGCCATCAGGAACTACAATTAGTTCATCACCATCAAGCAAGTCTTCAATGGGACCAAGAACTGCATCATATAATGGCTGCAAAAGGTCGGTGCTCTCCTGTGATGGCTCCGATGTTTGATGTTCATCTCGAGTAGTTGACGTTGTTGTATTCAGCTTATCCATTGACCGATTTTCGCACCTGATACCGACGCCAGCCCCAATGCATCCCAAAACAAAGTCTAAAAGGGAAGAAAAGGAATCTTCGTGCTCACTCGCTGGTAACGTCAATTGCTCAAAGATAAGGTTGCCTTCTTTTCGCAATACCCACACATGGAGCAGGTTCTTTTGTAGGGCAAGAAAAACTGTTGACACAGTTGTCTTCTTTGAAACATTTGTGACTTCTTCTTCAGATACAATTGACCTGGGAGAAAGTGAAGTAAGGCCATAAGTTACTTTTAAGGCATCGAGCAAAGCCTGTGCCCGTCCCCTCTCAGCGGTGTATAAAGCCTCACCATATCTTTGAAGCATTAGTAAACTTTGCCATAAATGAGTATAGGCACATCGATGATCAGGATGCGTACGGAAACTTATTTTCAATTGATCTTCCGAGATAGAATTGGCTCTAATAGTGTCATAGATTTGAACACTACATCTAAAATGTTCTGACGCCTCATTCCAAGAACGTAAGTTCCAAAAACAGTGACCCAGACCTGTATGTGCACATGCTTTATCCATCCTGCTACCGATTTCTTCGGCAATGCTCAGGCGTTGCTTGTAACACTCTATTGCTTCCTTGAAGTCGTCGCGATTTCTATAACAAGCTCCGAGGCGGCAATAGGCATGTCCTTGTTGCTTCTTGTCGCCGATTTCCTCGGCATTGCTCAGGCATTGCTTGTAGTACTCCATTGCTAATGGCACGTTGCAGAGGGATCTATGAACGTCGCCGATGTTTAAATAGGCATTTCCTTTTTCTTCTCTGTTACCGACTTCCTCGGCAATTCTCAGGTGTTTCTCGTGGCACTTCATTGCTTGTTGGAATTCTTCAACGCAGTTATAAAGAGCGCCGAGATTGGAATAGGCTTTGCCTTCCCATGCCCTGTTACCATCTTCCTTGGCAATGATGAGTTGTTGATTATGGTACTCTATTGCTCTTTGGAATTCATTAAGGCGGTGATAAGCAAGACCGAGATTGGCATAGGCTTTGCCTTGCCCTGCCCTGTCACCAACTTCCTTGGCAATGATGAGGTGTTGATTATGGTACTCTATTGCTCTTTGGAATTCATTAAGGCGGTGATAAGCAAGACCGAGATTGGCATAGGCTTTGCCTTGCCCTGCCCTGTCACCAACTTCCTTGGCAATGATGAGGTGTTGATTGTGGTACTCTATTGCTCGTTGGAATTCTTGAAGGCTGTAATAAGCAGCGCCGAGATCGCCATAGGTACATCCTTCTTGTGCCTTGTCACCAAGTTCCGTGGTAATGATGAGGTGTTGATTGTGGTACTCTATTGCTTTTTGGGAGTCACCCAGGATTTCATAAGCACGGCCGAGATTTCTGTATGCACATCCTGCACCTGCTCTGTTACCGACTTCCTCAGCAATGCTCAGGAATTGCTTGAGGTACTCTATTGCTTGATGGAAGTCCTGGAGGTTGAAATAAGCTGTGCCTAGATTGTGGTAGGCATCTGCTTTCTCTGCCGTGTTTTTATTGATTTGCGCTATTGCAAGACGCTTTTTTTGTTCAGCTATATCTTGTAGTATTCTTTCCGCCATTTCGAAGTTTTAGTATTCAAAGTGGAACTGTTTCTTGGGCGTAATGCTTCTTTAAAGAAGAGTGGAGGTAGAGAAAATACAAAAATAATTCTCATTAATACATTTGAAGTCTTAGAATATGTTCCCATTAGACCGTTGTTTGTTTGTTTCACAAATTTATGTGCAAAGCAGGTCTTTCTTCGTTAGCTACTGTCATATAAATGAAAATTATTATAAATCTGTGACGTCTACAACATTTAACACAAATTATCCAGAACTGAGGAAGGGTAGGGGGGGTTTGGAGGGGGGGTGGAAAGGAAGCGGAAGAGAGAAGCGGAAAAGGGACACAACGAAGGTAGAGAAACACAAATCGGTTAAAGCAATATTCTAGTCGGACGTTTTTTGCTTAACAACGAACAAACATTCTTTGCTTCTCGGTCGCAAACCGGTCTAAACTTATTATGAATTATTTCTAAGTAAAAAGGAGAGCGAAAAAAACTACAGCAGGAAATCAAAATAAACCTTGCAGAAATATCTGATTAGGAAATTTCCAAGTTAAAGGAGACTATTTCTTACCTGAACGATTTGGTATCTCTGAAGAAATTTTCAACGGAGTTTTGAAGTGTTCTCCAGTGGTTGGATTTAAATGCAGAGGACTATCAAATATATAGGGTGGCCGATAGAAACAAAAAAACCACAAGACAACAACAACAACAACAAAAATAGGAAAGAAGCAACCCAAAACAGAAACACATAAGACAAAACGGAAACCCAAAACAGAAAAACACTACCAGAAAACAGAAACGGAAATAAGCATCCCCAACAGGAAACACATTAAAAAAAAATACAAAATTAAACCGCAAAACTGAAACAAAACCCAAAAATACAAACCATACCCACAAAAGACGAAAACAGAAACAAGGAAATAGTTTAAAATGTAGTTTGTCATGTTTCCTCGTCTTTGTTTTAAACAAGGATTTTTTTTTAGGGAGAGCATGATCGCAGGCTATTATCATCTAAGAGCATCAATCTGTAAATCAATCTCGTTTNAAGAAATTTTCAACGGAGTTTTGAAGTGTTCTCCAGTGGTTGGATTTAAATGCAGAGGACTATCAAATATATAGGGTGGCCGATAGAAACAAAAAAACCACAAGACAACAACAACAACAACAAAAATAGGAAAGAAGCAACCCAAAACAGAAACACATAAGACAAAACGGAAACCCAAAACAGAAAAACACTACCAGAAAACAGAAACGGAAATAAGCATCCCCAACAGGAAACACATTAAAAAAAAATACAAAATTAAACCGCAAAACTGAAACAAAACCCAAAAATACAAACCATACCCACAAAAGACGAAAACAGAAACAAGGAAATAGTTTAAAATGTAGTTTGTCATGTTTCCTCGTCTTTGTTTTAAACAAGGATTTTTTTTTAGGGAGAGCATGATCGCAGGCTATTATCATCTAAGAGCATCAATCTGTAAATCAATCTCGTTTCCAGGCCCTCGCTCCAGGTAACGGGCATTCTCCTGTCCCTTTTAGCCCACGGGGGCCTTCGCTCGAGGACCAGAAGGCAAAATCACCCGGGGTCCGTTTCTCGATCGTCCTGGTACCTTTTCTAGTCCAAAGCAGACAACCTAACTCGAGACATAACTACTAACGTATGGCGTTCAAAATACAGAGACTGACTGAACGTCAGTTGCTCGAGATTTAATACGCCTGACATTAGGGAGGCGACAGTAGCAAAACGTTATTTATAAATGAACTATTTGGCGTACTTTTAAAATTTGTGGGGGTTATCTTAACTGGCTAAGTTGATCAAATGTAGGTGATTTTTCCGTGGAAATTAATGTTTAGGGAGCACTGACATCAAAGTGTTAATTGAGAAAAAGAAATTTGTCTTCGGGTACTTGTGTCCTCTATATACCGTAGTGACGGCGAATAAATTTACAAAAACGTGTGATGCACGTACGTGAAGAGTTATAGTTTTGTTTATGGAACCTATATCAAGAAAATATGCGAAAAGGCCCCGTTTATGTAGAGAAAAATTTTCCCGGGGTCACCCTCCCAGCCCTAGTCAACTTAAGCAAGTGTTTATACGAAAACAAGTTATCAAATGTTAGAAGCTGAGTTTTATCCATGGTTTTATTATTTTCGGTCGGGAGAGGGCTTAAACTCCTTCAATAAGTAACAGTGCTAACTTTTCTGGTGAATCAATCGGGTGTCTATTTTTCTTTTTGAGAAGAGCGAAAGTCGTACTCCTAATAGTTCTCGTCCTCGAAACTAAAGATCTCTTTTAACCAAGCGTGAGGTCCAGATAGCTGAATATTGGCCAAGTTCGTTTTGTTTTGTTTTTTTGCGTTTTTATATATGGAACAATCACTACTGTATTAATTTGCCCCCCACCCCCTCGCCCCAGAAGACAAGCTAAAAAACTTGACTCGTGAACAACATGTGAATTGACTATAAAAAAAACTGCTGCCCCTGCAAATGTTTCACATCTAAAAACTGTTTTATCTCACTCTGCATTAAGGCCATGGTAAAACGGACAGAAAAAACGTGAAACCTGTTTTGCAAAATTGCTGGGAAACTAGTTGAAAAGTGATGTTGCGCATTTTACTATCCACGAATGAAGCCTCCCTTGCCGCAAATCAGGTTTAAACAAGTTGCGGAAAAGTTGTTGCAGAAACTAGAGAGAAGTTCTACTTTTTGCAACAAAAACTGTCAAATGTTGCGCGTTTAATTACCGACCCAAAGCAAACTTGTTTTGCAGCAAGTGACGTGACTCCTGTGTATGGCGTGACTCCCGCGTAATTTTATCCAATTAGGAGTCAGTATTTACGCAACTTGCAACACTGAATCTTATTTGCTACAAGACAGGTTTGATTTATGGGCAATGAAACGCGCAGAATCGCTTTCGGACTCGTTCTGCAGCAATTTGTTGCCCTTTTTACTGTACCTCTAGCCTCGTTTTTGAAGCGGGAGTTTTTGGAACTCGGAAATGGGCTATTATAGCCTGTGATCATGCCCTCCCTACAAAAAAAGCCTCGCCTGATCGCGGGTTAAGATAATTAAAAGACAATGAATCATGAGAAACTATTGTTTTACATTATTTCCTTGTTTCTGTTTTGGGGTTTTTGATCATGGTTTGTATTTTTAAATTATCTTTCAGTTTTGTGGTTCAGTTTTGTATTTTTTTGTACGTGTTTCCGCTTTGGGATGTTTATTTCTGTTTTGGGATTTGTACTTGTGTTTTCTGGTAGTGTTTTTCGGTTTTGGGTTTGCTGTATCCTGTTTTTGCATTGACGGCACCCTAAGAAAAGAGAAACAGTCTCTGCATTGTGTTTTCGTTTATTATTCGTAGCAAGTGGAGTAATAAATTACCGTGCAAGGATTAGCATCCACTTTTATGCTTGGTCACTAAAAATAGCACCCGCAAAGAAGTTCTTCGTATACTCCTAGTAGAATACAGCGAGCATAAGAGTTCAGACAAATCGTTAAGGGGTCGCTTTTTAGGAGGTTAAAAACAATGGGAAATCTCTCTAACGCTGTCGCTTAAGGATGGTGATCTTTTACGAGAGGTAGTTGTTTACGAGAGGTGGTCGCATATGCAGGTTCGACTGTATCAGTGTTTTCGTAATATGTGATTTAACTGCATTGAAGCCAGAATTGAAAAGATTTAAAAATAAAAAAACTCTGAAATTCACAGGCTATCTATGTTATCAAAACAAACCGGCAAGAGCGCGACATTACGAAACAACCACAAAGCATGATGGGCTTGGGGTCTTTATCGTAATTGACATATACTTGTATTCCTGTGATCGACGCGGTTAGGGGACCCGAGAACCTATCGTCTATACCTTCAAAACAATACAAACAAAAAACAAACAAAACCAAACTGAAAAAGGGGAGGAGTTCCAATAACGTTTTTATAACAGTACATACCACTGAGTGGCCAAACAAAAATATTGGTATGCCTGTGTTGTCTGCTGTGACTCGGTCAATGTGTTTAAAAACACCTATGATCTAAAAGAAAAAATCTGATATGTGGGCTCTTTCTCCTTCACCCTGGCCATGACCAACTAATAGAAAGATTTATTGTCAAAAGTTAGCTCTTGAAGGGTTCTATCACACTATTTCCTGTCTTTTTTTGTATTCGCCAGGTGCCCATAAAATCATAAATAGAATTCCAAAAATAATGCAGGTCAAAAGATGAGATAGAAATAGGGAGGGAGGGAGGGTAGGGATCGTAAAATGTCGGTGAGACATTCTTTCTGACGAAAGAAGAAATGACTCGAACAGTTTTAATCAACTTCTTCACTGATTATGAAGCGTGATATAACCTTCTTCTCGTTCACTCAGTGATGGGCTATCCATGCTTTGCCAGCTATAGGTACCCTCAAAAGCATGGCAGGAAAAAAAAATTATGTCGCTCAGAAATGTTGTATCAATGACTGATCATTTCAATTTCATCCTGCTTGCCAACGTCATATTTTTTTCCTTTCTAGGTTTATCCAATCACAATGTTCCATGACCCGGATGTTAATCGTGGTTCCCAGGCCCTCGTTGATGCTCATTCTCGTAACTGGCCTACTAAACGAATCCTTATGCAGGTAAGAAAACTGTCAGGTAAATAAAGGTCGCCACTTTAGAAATGAGAAGAAAGCTGATCCTAGGGGTCTTCGCGAAAATTAACTCCGCCTAGTTTACTCCTCGTTTCTAAACTGGTGAATGTCTTTTTAGATTATACAGTCGAACTGTTATTTCGCGGCCACCCTTACTTAGGGATGGGAAAACTGTTAGTTCTGTTCAAAGTCAATCCACTGCTTTTCTTACAAATAACTTCCTACTACTCTCACGTTTCAAAATGGCGCGTGACAGGGCGTGGTACCCAAGGTGTGAACAGAAAACCATTCTGTGCTATTACCCAGGCACTGGTACTCGGGCACCAAGTGAGACATTGTCATAGTGTGAGCCTATACCTGTATGGATTAATGAAAATGAAATTTATTTGTTGATTTTCAGCGTCACACATTACGAGCTGTGCCAGTATCTGAAGTGACTGAAGTATGAGTGGAAAGATAAAAACACTCGTTTCTGGGTGTACGGGTTGGATCACAGAGTGCACGCCCCAGACTACCCCCAACAGTGCTGTTGTGGTTGCACTATAATCTAAAGGAGTCAAAGAATAATGTATAGCATCGGTCAGTTTTTATGTGCAATCCAGACTAATCGCTGGGCGTTCGCGTTTTGTGTCCGGAAGAGGGGCAAAAAATCGACAAGCGAAGCGAGCAGAGAGAGGGACTTCTCCTCTTCTTCTAGCCTGCGTGGCAGCGTTTGAAAGGGAAGGGAAAGGGAGTTTTAGGTGCGAGAGAAACGCGAGGGGCGCGCGCCCCTCGCGTTTCTCTCGCGCCCAAAACCCCCTTTCCCTTCCCTTTCAAACGCTTGCCACGCAGGCTACTTTTCTTCAGGAATCAGGAATCGACAACGTGGAATCCGGAAGCGACCATTTTATATAATTAGTCTGACAAAGTAGAAACGTTATCGAGCGTACACGACATTGATGTACAAAGGAACGTTAGGACAATAAATGATTATTTCAATAATTTGTGAGACCGTGAGTTGTTGCAAAGCTATGTAAAAACTTGATCTATTCTGCTTCCCCTTGAAGTCACTTAATGTCTCCTTTTCCACAAATTTTGGATTTATGCAGGGTCATTTCTTAATGCCATGCGTGCCGTACCTAACCATATGCATTTTGTTCATATTTGTTATAGTTAATTTCCAGGTCAGCCATAAGTTGGTTTTTCCCCTCAACAGGGTTATGGTCCTGCGCCCCCTCAGCAGCAAGGATATGGATCTTTTAATGTTGCTTTTGAGGGTAAGGACAAGTTTTAAGTGCTTTTTAACAAGGCCTTTATGTTATATGTCATTGTATCTAGTACAATTTTTAGGGTGTGACAGAAGTAAGCTGAAGTACAAAGTGCGGGGGTTCAATGGCTACTCTGGTATAAGATTTCAAAATTGATGGGGGATTGTGGTTGGGGGTTGGGGGCTGCTATCACTGGTGCTCTGTGGATACTGTCCTCTGTTCTGTTCTGTTCCCACTTGGCTGGAGGTACAGGGCTGCTGTAAGGAAGTTCTTTTGCCCTGGAAATAATATATATGTTGATGGTTGTAGTAAATTTTTTATATCAGGAAATTTTTATTTTTCTGTTGTTTCAATTTCATTAGCATACATTGAAATACCCATGCAAACACCGAGGAAAAACAAAAATTACCTGGGATTGAAAATTAGCAACAACATATATTCATTTGATTATTATTACATCAGAAACTAAACATTGTATCGTGCAACGTGTTGGGATCAAGTAGAAGCAGTTCAACAACCTGGGCCGAGTTGTTCAAAGCTGGGTTAAGATAACCCAGGGTTAGTGCGAGATTTGGATTCAGATTTGAAAGCTTAAAAAGCATTTCAGTTTTAATTATTTTGTCTACAAGTTGATAATTGGAAGCTCTAAAAATAAAGAGAAAATTATCCGAGAAAATACTTTTGAACATAAGAAAAAGGAAACCCGGGTTAAATTTAATGCCGGGTTAAGCACTAATCGGCCTTCGAGCAACTGGGCCCAGACCTATAAGTCACCCCATGTAAGAGAATCCACAATAGTCTGGGATTCTGGATTCCACGTCACGGATTCCGGATTACAGGTACTCGATTCCAGTCTTTGTCAGTGGAACTTGGATTCTCAATTCCAATTGCTAGTGGGAGTCCGGATTCTTTGATCTGTACTCTGGACACCAAAGCCCAGGATTCCGGATTCCACATGCAAATTTTTTCCCAGATTCCAGATTCCGTTACATGGGCGGTATAAGGGATGAACCATTAGGAAAGAAAAGGGGCTGGGTTGAATTTTTGGGAGGACTATGAAAGTTTTCTTTTTACCCCTGAGGTGGAAATCTATTTTTCTTCCTCGAACAGCTTGTTTGATCATGGTGCGTGTGGAGATTTTTTTCTTACTAATGCGTTTCCCTTCCCTCAACCTCCTATCCTTTTTTTCTAATGGTGACATCCCTAAATTAAAGCAGCTTCTTTAAATAACTGAGAGATGGCTAAGGGTCAATGGCCTAGAGAAAAGCAATCTAGAGGCGGCAAAAATAGGTCAGATCCTCGATAGAATGATGATAGCTTGAACGATTGCTGTGATTTCCTAGCGCCAAACCTCAGAACGTTGCTGTATACGTGTTCTGGAACTGATCTATTTGATAAAAAGCCCAACTTTTACAACCTAGCACAAATACAACAAAGCATCATTAAGTTATTGGAGCGTCCAAAATCTTAATCTAATCTCTTCCACTGTTTGGATACTTATAAGTCGACATCAATTAAAGCTGTTGGACCACTAACGCGATAGTACACGAAAACGTTTTTTATGATTGAAATGACTCGCAGTAACTAAGAAACAAGATTAAGAGTTAAACCTAGTTTAAAGGCAGAACAAATAGTCTGCGAGTGTAGAGACAGAGGCGGACTCAGCTCTTCAAGGAAGTGGTGGTGAGAAAATAGAGAAGGAAAATAAATCTTGTCCGCGGATGAAAATTAGATTTCGAGCCCTTTTTCCTTTGTTTGCAGGCATGAAAGGACTATCTGGAAACGCTTTTCCAAAAAAAAAGGTTATTAACTGAATAAGGCAAAAGTCACTCTAATGATTCTCTGACGGTCCAATTCGCCAGCGGTCACTCGCTCCTGTCTCTGCGCAGGCTATTCATTGTATCGTCCAAAACTTACTGTTAAAACTACGAGCATATTCATTCCCAAACGTTTTACTCTTTGTATGAAACGCTAATAATTTATCCATATATAAGTTAAACTCGTCTCTGAAATCCCATTTTACTTGAATTTCAAAACAGTTTTAATTAAGTGACAAAATGTGTGTCCCGATATACAACATTAAGTCTAAAATGAAGACTGCAGACTGCTCTCAGTGCAAAACATTGTTTTCACCATGCAAATGGGAACGTGACAAGAATAGTCCCATTGACAAATGCATATGAAATAAATCATATATGAGAACTGCGGGAATGAAATCAAATGAAGAATGTTCCTCGCAGTTGTGAACGCAATTTATGCAATTGCGTAAGAAGCCTGAATTAAACCAAAAAATCAGGACCTCAACGGGGTTTGAACCCGTGACTTCGCGATACCGGTGCGACGCTGTAACCAACTAAGCTATGAAGCCACTGATAGTCCCATTGTTTTCTAACCCTGAAAACAATGGTCTGCAGTCAGTCTGCAGTCTGCATTTTGTACTGTCCACCAGATTATACATTAAGGATCAACAAGACATGGACATATTCATTTTTATCAAAAAAATAATACTAGTTCTGGGAAACCGGGGATCAGTCATATAAAACGTAACACACCCTTTTGACTCAGACCTTAAACCACTGAAACGTAACCCTCGGTTCAGAATCACGGTTCAGGATACTTACAGTGCATACTTAAAATTTTAAAAATTATCTGATTAAAATCTGAATCACATTACTGAAACCAAGGCCACGCTTGTATATTCTTAACCCTCGGACGTACAACCCCCC